TGTCATGCTTTTTTGCCTTCGGTAGGGGAGCACAAGAGAATGAAGAGTGTAAGCATGACCCCTACAGGACACTGTTAGTGAAACTATTCCAAGCTACTGTGCTGGGGTGCCCATACACCATGAGTAGGATCCACATGTGCAGACATCTCGAAAAACTACACTTACCATAAGGTAAATAATGGCTCTGTCTACTGTATATGTTTCTATTTTACAGTTATTTTTGTGTGCCGCTCTTGCATACACATTATATATATAATATGTATGCAAGAGCGGCACACCAAAATAACTGTAAAATAGAAACATACACATATACCTATGTATGTGTGTATATATATAATACAAATAAAATATTGGAGAGGGGTCTGCATCCAAGTTCTCTACAACTAGCCTAATCCAAGTACTAAAACCAAACGTTCAGGACTTTTGGAAAGTTCAGGCCTGGTTTTTAAATGTCCAAGTTTAGAAATGTCTATCAGGGAGTCTGTTTCTGTCTGTTGCAGCAGTTCAATCTAGAGCTGAGGTATGGAGTTAATGCTCATTTCGTGTATGTGTGTGTGTGAGAGAGAGATTATTTATTATTTGTATTATTGTGCTGCCTAATAACCTTAGTCATGGACCAGGAACCATTGTGCCAGGTGCTGTACACACAGAACAAAAAATACAGTCCCTACCCCCAAAGAGTGTAGTGTGTAGTGTGTGTGTGTGTGTGTGTAAATAGAATGTATGTGTTTATATAGATAAAGTATATGTATAAAAATGTGTGTGTATGAGTTGATAAGGCACTCCGAAATCATTTGGGATGAAACACACTATATATAAATATGAACTGCTGTTGATATCAACTATTTTCTAAAGGAAATAGTCTGAAAGCTTTAATAATATTCCCCATTCCTGCAGGCAGGTGTTAACAGTAGATAGTAAACTTTCCAATCTGTGGAGTTAAGTGAACACATTTTTCATTGTGATACTCAAGTCTCTCCCTAGATTCCTTTTATTTGCCACTTGTATCATGTTTTGGAATACCTTCTGTCTTCAGGCCTCAGGTTGCTGCAGTATATAGCCATCTAGCTGTTGTCTGCTTTTCATCACTCCTATTATTCGCAGAGTATTCTTTTTTTCTCATCATGTTGTATCCCATTCTGAACTGATCTTTCATTACTAGTGAAGTAGACCTGTTGATTTTTTTCTGTGCCAGCTTTCTGAATGATTGTTCCATGTCTCCACCCTTTCTAGTCCCACATAACCCAAACATATCTGCAGAGGGACTTTCAGGTGGAGAGGGGAGCACGCCTTGTAGCTACTTTCCCCTTCTCTCCAGCTCCACCTGACATTGTTCCCTTTACCAACAGAAACAATCCTGATAAGCGTGTGGTTATGACAAGGGAGCTATGACAGATTACTCCAGCTGATAAATTAAACAGTAGTAAATCACCAGAGTACCTGTAGCAGTACAAAAGTTCTTGAAATGATCCTTCCGTTCTCCTTTTTTCCTTTGGTAAATACTCATTTGGACAATTATAGGTCTTTTTAAGGACAGGTCTACTCTACAAACCTTTGCTGGCATAGCATTACCAGTGAGATATATGAGGAGATGTGATCCCTGAGTGACAGTGCTGTGCCAGCAAAAACCCCTAGTGTCGACTCAGTTAGAGTGGCAAAACTGTGCTTTTGCTGGCATAACTTATTTTTCTGGGAGGGCTGAAATAAGCTATGCCAGAAAAAATATAGTCAACCTGTGTAGTTTTGCCAGTACAAACTGTGTCCACGGTTGGAGCACTTTGCCAGCGTAGTATATACCAATATAGCTCTTCCTGCAAAGCTCTCCTTGTGTAGACCTGGCCTGAGTGATTAACAGGCATTCAGGATGAAGTCATGCTGTTTGTTGTTTAAATTCAATGGGATTTGGACACCTGATTCCATTAGGCACCTTTTAAAAATCCTAGCCTATGTGCTTAGATATTTAGCTTTGGAGAAAATTTCTCTGAAAATGGCCCATTTATATATTTGTTAGGATTACCTTTATTTAAAAAATATATTACTGTCAAAGGGCTCTATTTATTACTGTACTATACTATATACTATAATTAATAATCCTTCTATAGTCTCCCTTAAAATAATTAGGGTTTTTACCTCCCATCTAAGCTATCATTTTTACGTGTCCTTGATAAAACCGTTTTTTGTTCTTAGACTGCCTTTACAAATATTTTTGCACATTTAAAATAGGTAACAGTGAATTTAGTTCATTTTCATTTAATCATTTAATATTTCCTGGCTTAGGCTACAAGTGAAAATGAGTTTGATCATTGTCTAGTCCCTAGTGGATTTCTGCCTACAACACAAAAGTCACTGCAACTTGGCCCTCTTGGTAGTCTTAAACTGGAATAAAAAATATGTTAAATTCAAGAATAAAATGCATGAGAACAGTCGTGTGGGGAAATTTGCACAGAACCTGCCCACGCTGTGCATGGATTGAGCTACAGGTAGTGCTTTTAATCTTTCACACGCAAGAAATTCAAGGGCAAATTGTTTGGTTTTGGTTTTTTGAACTGAAATATTCTTTTAGGCTGCTCAAGCATGTTAAATCTTGGTAGATTTCTGAATGTTTGCTTAGCCTACATACATGTATTATTTTGTTAATGTTGTTATTGTAAGATAATGGACATATTTCCTCTGCCTTTTTCTAGATTAGGGACATCTTCAGCATCCTAAATAAGAATTCATTTTTTTATGAATTAACATAGCAAGGGCCCCATCTTGCTATCTTTCCATGCAATATTTAGGAAAATACATAGGAACTTCTGTTTTGTCAGCAATGGTTTATTGCATTGTATGCTTATGTCTTAGATGTGCAAGGCCTTTCATTAAACAGCAGGATATTATTAGGCATAGCATGAAAAGCCTTTATAGTGTATCTGCCTTGTTTAAACTTGGCCCACAAGCATACTGCAGACTAAAAGGGTGAGCAATGAATTGAGAGTTGATGGCAGGCCCATAGAGGTCCTAAGGCTCAGGTGGTTGTCAGCCATAAGTTTAGCTTGGCTCTTTCAGTAATTTGTCACGCCTTGGTCTGCTCCTGCTGCGCCAGCACGTGCCAGCTTAGTGTCAGAGTGCCTGTTCGCCAGACGGCCACTCAGGCCTAACATCCTGCTGTTAATAGGACCAGCGGCTTGCTGTGGCAGTGTGGAATACAGAGCCTTGGCAACAGCCAAGTGCTGTGCAGAATAAGCATGTTCATAATGAGATGTGAATGGCATCAGTCAGTCCCTTTAGAATAGGGTCTAGGCGTGTGCCTCCTCTCTTAGGAAGTTTGGCAGCCTATTCATTAGCAAGAGTCATCAGGAGTTCAGCCTATAATAGTGAAGCAGCCCCAAATACACTCAGCCTAATACTTGTGCTATCAGGAATGTGTTCTGCTGGGCTTTAAAAGAAAATAAGTAAATAAAATTGTCAGCAGGTGCAATCTCTGAAATGCTTAGTATTCATTTTCTTTCTTCGGTTTCCCAAAGGAAGTTTAGAGAAGGATTTATCATATGTGTATCTGTCTCCATTAGCATGAAAATCTTCCTAAAATGTCTTTTAACCCCAGTGACTACATTAACTTGCATATGATTAAGACATAAACACATTGATTATCCCCTCTGAGATGGAGCACTAGAAATCTAATGCTGCATTATTTTACTCTGAATTGAAAAGAATGTTCAGTCATTTTTAAAGTATCATATTAATGTAGCGGAAACTACAAACTTGCACCTTGGAATAATTCTAATGAGTAATGTAGGCTTTTCAATTAAAAAAAATCCAATCACCTACATTATATTGAGTCACTGGTGTTATTTCATCTTCTCATAATTTGATAATTATGAATTGGCACTTTCTCCTACTTAATGCGATCTCGTAGAATTAGAATGCTTTTCCACTTGACAAAAACGCAGTGAAGATCTGAAAACTTTTTTTTTTTTTTAAATGAGGAAATGGGGAATGAGATGTCATACTGGCTTCTTCAAGTGTTAATTCATAAAGTCTATGTGAGGTTCTTCAGTCCATTGTAGATTTGTTTCAGACGTTATCCTGTTATTGGAAATGCATGATTCACCTTCTGAGAAAACAGAAGCTGCACACAAAAGGAAAAGATTTGCTTTCTCCACTGTGGAAAGCTGCCGCAAGCAGGGGTCCTATTAAGACAGCTGGAAAGTTGCTTCAGCTTGTTACGCTTGTAAGTTTTATTGGTGACTGGTTTTTGATTACACATTTGAATGCTGCATGTTCCAGGTTGCCGAATTTTAATTAAAAGACAATAGTCTTGGTTTAGATTGCTTTGTTGTCTGTATTATGTAGACTGTACTGAATACAAGGTCTTATTTTATTAATATGTATAATTTATTAGTACATCCAATGATATCTTCTACAGTATAACTTTAATGTAAACTTCGTATGCTGAGGAATCTTATTCAATGCTGTATACTTCCTTATTTTAAGTAGCACAATGATCAGTTGCATCTATTCTTTTCCTTTGCCTATAACCTGTACTCCCAATTCAATTATTGTTGGTAGGATGAAAAGAATAATTGTAATGCAAATATTATCTATCAGGAGCGTGCTAATCATGAAATACATTTCTGTTGACATTATGGTTTTTCACCTTAAAAATATAACATTTTTTTCCCCAGGAATATACTTCTAGGGTCTTTGTTTTCATCCCCACTAACTTCAGAGATCTCTTGGATTCAGTCACTAAGCCATGCCTTTTTCAATAATATTTGTGTTGAAGGTAAAAAAAATTATTGATATTATAAATAATTTCAAAAGGTACAGTGTTATGACAGTTCAGTGCTTATGTTTAGAAATCTTAAATATTTTAAAGAAATTTTGAAAGGCATATTTTTCACACCAGTGATGTAGTTCTCTAAATGTGTTTGTATGGATTGAACTGTTAGCATTCTAGGACATTGTGTAACAGCATTTAATTTTGCATGTGCATTTCCTTAACCTGAGTATTGCAGTTATGAGGAAAGAGCTCTGTATCTTGAAGCAATAATCCAGAATCACAAAGAAGTAATGACATTTGAGGATTTTGCAGCTCAGGTCTTTTCTCCCTCTCCTAGCTACTCTCTCAGTGGAACTGGTGAGTCTCTGTACGTTATTCTTCTGTTTTGCACTAAGAAGCACTTGAGCAGCAGATGTACACCTGTTTTTCGTAGATAAATGCTTGCAAATTTAAGAAGAGCATTCTCCCTCTGAATCAACTAATGAATATCAAAAGGAATGATGACATTCATTTTAATTTGTTTTGCATCAGAGCTATTCACTCAGTTCCTTTCTTCAGCTATCCTGTTAACCCCCGAATCTAGCAAGGTTAATGAACTTTCTCTCAGTAATGTGCTCTGGTTCATTCAGGAGTGTGGGTTTCTTGCTGAGCTGGGAATATGCTGTTCAAAAGCAATGCCTGAATCAGTGCTTACTTATCGAAAAATAGTTCCTCACAGTAGAAGCCGTTGCTACTAATGCTAAATGGGGATTATGCTGCTGAGATACCAGGGTCAGGGATTAATGCAAAAGAAATGTAAGGATAGTATTCGGTTAGAATATTATAACAGTAATACAGTATGCTAACATTTTCCTTTTAATATTTGATATATGGATGGACAAATTTCAAACTTCCTACCAATGCCTGGATAGGAATCTCATTTTTAAACTCTATTTCAACAATTATTTCATTAATCTTGTTGAAAGATGGAAATCTATGTAAAACTCAGTGAATATATTCTTAACATCATAACAAGATTTTAAGTTAACTTCTAAGGTCAGTAAGATACCAGTTGCTACTTTGTCATTTTAATAATTCTTGATAAATCGGTTTTAAAAGGAAACATTAATTCTGAAGAGTAGGTTTCTAGCACCCTAAGGATTAATTTTCCTCTCTTGCAGAAAAGTATACAGTCAGTGCCTGATGAATTCCTTAATCCCTTCTTTGCACCCATTGGGTGTACACTTTCTAATTATTTCAACCCTGTATAAATGTTTCAACACATCTGCTTTATTCCCTATATTCTGACATCTAAACTGAAAAATTGAAGGAAGAAATTACGTTTACTGAAATAAATCACTTACAAATAAAATCAGCCATGCATCATTGTTTAACATTACTGGCTCCAATCCTTGAGCTTTCAGAGCTTTGTTAGGAGATAAGAGGTATATGCATGTACTTGTATTGGTCGCCAGTAGCAGCAGGCAGAAGGCTTTGGAGATAAGCAAGCTGGCAGAAGTAAAGGGGAACCAGTGCTATTTACATAATCGCGCCTCTGCTTCCTGGAGAGGCGTCAAGAAACACAGGGATGGCCTCTATTGATCTTTGTTGAACTGGAATACTAAACAACATTAGAAAAGCTTATAACTTAAAGCTTTGATTAATGTTTTCTACATTAAAAAAGTAGAACAGCTGTGAATTAAATTCTTTTATATACCCTGCCAAAACTCTGAGACAAAAAAAATTATCAATTTCATTAGAAGTGTAGATTTCATACCCAGTTTTGTTAGAAACTTTGAGTCATGTATCTGTTTAGGTATCAGCAAATAAAAACACAGGCATCTTGGCAGAATTTTAAAATACTTTAAGCATATTTTATTGTCTTCATCAGTCTTCCATACTTCTGTTTCACCACATTTGCATATGTTATTTGGTCATCTTATTCTGATCAAATTAAGCATAATTAGAAAAGACATTATTTTCTAAATTCTATAATATCTGTTATGCAAAAAAAAATACTTAGTTAAGATCTATTTAAATTGTTCAGAAGAACTGTTAAATAATCATTAAGTACTAGAATCATTTTTTATGTGATTTAATTTTTCTTGATCAAAACTTGTCACAAAATTCAGATCCTGGTTTTCAGCCTTCCAAAGTTTGGGTATGTTTGGAAGCATATTTTTAGTTCAGCCTGTTATAATACTAGGGCCAGTCATGAGTCAGATACCAAAACTCAAGTCTCCAAAGTTCAGGGGTGTTCAGATGTGGGATTTCAGTTTGCCCAGCTATAGTCAGAGGCACAAAATCCAGATCCAGGCTTGAATTTAGAAGCATCCCCTGCCAGTCTCCCTTATTCCCCTCCAAGGTTTCAAGTTGTTCTGACTGAGCAAATCTTTAGTCTACTCAGTGTTATAAGACAGCTAATACCTGATTTAAAAGATCTGTTGTAATTAGAGAATGTTGGAAGAACAACACAGCAAACTGTATACTCGAGAAATTCATTTCATTTATGGGCTTTAGAAAATTCTATATTGTAAGGTTTCAAGCTGTGTATTAGAAGAGAATAATTTATTTATTATTTTTAAAATAGAATTTTCTAGATTAGACAACTCCCTAAATCATGAAAATTACTTGTCATATTAGCCTTTACAAAGACATGTAAATCCGTGATTCAAGACAGGTTTCAGAGTAGCAGCCGTGTTAGTCTGTATTCGCAAAAAGAAAAGGAGGACTTGTGGCACTTTAGAGATTAACCAATTTATTTGAGCATAAGCTTTCGTGAGCTACAGCTCACTTCATCGGATGCATGCATCTGATAAAGTGAGCTGTAGCTCACGAAAGCTTATGCTCAAATAAATTGGTTAGTCTCTAAGGTGCCACAAGTACTCCTTTTCTTTTCGTGACTCAAGAATTTCCCTATTCCAGGATTAAAAGAAAAACTATCCATGATTTTACCTGTTACTGCTTAGTTGCTAAATTGTTTAGTGTCAGGATTACTGAGTCCTATTATAATCAGATTTCAGGATTGTGAACTCTTAGGCTCTAAATCAATATTGAAACCAGATATAACTGATGTAATTCCACAATCGTTGTTAATGCTGAATAGTCCCAGGGCTTAAGCACTAATATAGGCCCTGATGCTGCAAAAAGAGCCAACAGAGCCCCATTGAAGTGAGTGGAGCTCAGGATGGGCACAGTGGTCTGCCCACACACATCCACCTGTAAGATCAGGGACATCTGTATTCATATAATATTTCCATTATCATCACATTTTAGGATAGTACTTTGCAGTAGATCTTCCATTTACTAACTCAATATATAAAACTATGAATCAGAACATTGTGTATTTGTATCTCTATGAGCAGATATGGAATATTGTGATCCTTCATGAGACGGTAATGCGATTCCTTTAAAATAAAAAGCAAGCTACTGTTAAATTCATTTGAATTAGGTCACATCCATTTATTTATTCACATCAATGTCCGGAAAAGGGGGGTGGGTTTATTTTGAAGTGAACTATTCCCAGAGCAAGTTTGAGTGCAAGCAAACACAAATTGTGATAATTTCAGCTAGTAAGTATTACCAGTGCTGTATTTGTAGATACACATTATATCATCCATCATGTCTCATGTAGTTCAGAATTTTACCCTATTTACATGTGTATGTAGCACAGGTTGGCTGTGCAATTTGTGTGGAAGTGGCATTCTTCCATTTAAGAAATTTGACACATGTTGGTAAGATCTCAGGTTACTCCAAGGGGAATGCTCATCCCAAAACAGAGAAATGAAACCTGCAAAGAAAAGTGGAACTGCCCAAGGCAGGCCCATCTATCTATGTTTTTATCCTCTTCCAAGTAGCAAGCCAACTGAAAAAATTGACCCTGAACATCTTAAGCCTTCATGGTGAAATTAGGGCCCATTCTTCCACCCATGCTATCCTCAACATCACCTCATCGTAATCCATGATCACTGCATATACAGATACACAATCCCAGGGATCAATTTGCCCTGTACACAATCCCAGTAGTACAGTTTTATTTTATCTAGGATTTTTTAAGCAGTTAATGCAACATAGGATTCAAAAAGCATCCTGTGATATACTATAAATTAGTGCAGTGAAAATATAGCCATTAACGTATGCAATTTGTATATTATTATTAATTACCTTTTCTGTGCTTTTATGTTCTGTTACACAACCTCAGACTACTAGCAAATAACAAGATGCTGCAGAATGGATGTTGCCCCCAGACTCGCATGTGACATGGATTATAAAGTGTGCACTGATTTAGGCTCCCATTCTGCAGACGTTTATGCAGGTGCTTACCTTTATGCATGGGAGTAGTCCAATTGTTTTTGTGTAACTCTTTATAGGACCAGGGCCTTTAACTCTTTATATGTAGTGTTAGATCTCCATGCATCTTAGACATTGAAAATACAGAATACTAGGCAGAATGAACACCCCATAACTCATTTATGGGAAGTGCAGATTTAGGATCAAAAGATCAGAATAAGATCCTTTGTTGCTAAACTGGTAGGTTACATGCCTTATTTTAATTAGGCTGTGTATAAGAGTCAACCCAAGAAGTCCTTAGTAGTCCTATAGTATTTAATTATTCTCATCCTGTCCCTCTGCAGATTTTCCTACTTTAAAGGGTGTTCTTAGCTACAATCCTTTCCTCTTCTTCGTCCTGCCTCCCCTGGTCAAAAAACCAAAAACAACTTTTTGGACAAAATACTAGTACTCCACACAAACTTCAGAAAGTGCAACTTGATGGTGCATTCTTTCAAAAAAGCAATCCTAAATGGTCAATACTTATGTACGAACAGGTGTATAAAATATGTTTCCAAGTCTAATTGCCCTTATTGATGAAACAGAGTAGCAGTATAAGATTAGAAGCCCGACAGTGGTTTTAACTGCTAAGAGATGTAAACACTTGAAAGTTCTAGAAAAGGGAATCAATATTCAGACTTTAAATAACAGTTCCTTCAGAAAGAGCTTTGTGCTGCACATTTGGATACTCCATCATGGTCGCTTTCTGCTGACCATGAGAATCCAGAAATTGTATCTGCAAGCATTCTTTTAATATTGTAGACTTGCAGTTGATTCTTCAAAGGGTTAATTGGAACGGGCACACTTGACTGCTGAGAGGACTGATCTAATCACTGCCATATCCAAGTGCATCTGTTCACCATGAGGTCATTCTTGTGCATGCTAATGATTTGGAAAATAAAGCATAATGCTTGACATTATCAGAAAGCATATAAATAGTGTAAATCTTTACTTTTTAGTAGCCGATGGCTATTGCAGAATGAAAAGAAAGCCAAATGAATCTCAGATTGCACTTTTTTTTTCTTTTAGGCAGCCTTTATTTATTGTCA